CTCCGCTCCTCACAAGACCTCCTTCTCTCTAGTTCCCTGGTCTCCTCCTCCCATGCCCGCCTCCAGGACTTCTCCAGGGTGTCACCCATCCTCTGGAACTCCCTGCCCCAACCCATCAGATTATCACCTACTCTCCTCTCCTTTAGGCGCACCCTGAAAACCCATCTCTTCAGGGAAGCCTACCCCACCCCCTGCTAACTTGCCGACCTCCTCCACTCTTCCTACCACTCCATCCCCCACAGCTATCTCCTCCTGTACCACTATCCCCCTCCCTCCTAGATTGTAAGCTCGAAAGAGCAGGGCCCTCCATCCCCTCATGTTTTGCATTGTATTGGTATTGTTCTGTCACATGTTCTGTCTCCCTTTGTAATGTACAGCGCTGAGCGAACTATTGGCGCTTTATAAATACTGTATAATAATAATAATACTTACCTGCTTTGTGCAGTGGTATTGCACAAAGCCTCCCCTTCTGGTGTCCCCCGCCGGTACTTTCGGCTCCTCCTCTTCTGTATTTGCTCCCCATAGAAACTCAAAGCGTGAACAGCTCCTTTTGAACACACTATGTAGGTTCACAGCAATAGATTCCAAATGCAAATATATATAATGCAACCACACTTAGAATCAACTCCAGACTTTTTACCTGCTTAATTGATGAAGAAATAACGAAGGAGTAGCCCACACCTGGCCATGAAATAGCTTTTGATTCAATTGTCCAATTACTTTTGTGGTCCCTTGAAAAAAGGGGGGATGGCTTCTTTTAAGAGCTGTAATTCCTAAACCCTTCCTCCAATTTGGATGTACATACCCTCAAATTAAACCTGAGAGTGTGCACTGTCAGCCCATATCCATTATATGTTCCTATTAATAGCTTGAATATGTTTTTGTACCTGGGAAAAAACTAAAATTGTGCCTCAGTCCAAATATATATGGACCTAACTGATATGTTTTCTGAAATCGTACACCCTGGAGGATACAATAGTGCTAGTTCCAATTTTTTGTTTATCACTTAAAATGCTATTGAATTTCAATAAAGAAGTGATAGAGTAGTAGAAGCGTTTAGAAAAGCTGTAAATACATTTCTGAACAGAAGGCATAAAGGTAACAAAGTAACAGGTGTGTATACAGGATGCACATCAGTAAGGATTACTGTGCATCCTGCTAGTTCCAATTTTTATGTGACGAGATATTTGCACAACAGCTTATCCAGTGAAAAATACACTCAAGATAATTTTAGGGAAACAAATGCAGAAAAGATAGTATTTAAAGCCTAAATTTAAGTAACATAAAAAAAAACAAATCTGCACAAGGGAGAGATCGGCATTTAATGAGATGTATCCCTTGTGCTGGTGTTGACTGTCCTAGCTGAAATCTAAAGTCTTCACCCACCCTATATCTCTGCAGCATTAAAGTGATATTAAAGGTTCACTTTTTATTTTTTAACCATTTGACGCCCAGCCTATGGCAAAATGGTGTCCATAAAAATGTATTAGCTTTCCCGGAGGGCCGCCATATGGCGTCCTCCCGCACATGCGCAGTTCGCGCACTTGCAGAGCTGCGCAGCGGCGCGATCTGTCACCGGCCGTGTACCTCGGACACGGCCGATGACAGATCTGAGTACCGGCCCCCGTTGCCGGTACCATGTGACCTGCTGTGACCAATCACAGCAGGTCACATGAGAGTTGTATACAATGGATGGCTTCATTCATGCCATCCATTGTATACTAGTGTCTAGCTGTGAATGGTCATAGCAGGTCACATGCACATGTCATGTGATTAGCTGTGGCCAAATCACAGCTAAGCACAAAAAAAAAACCCCCTGAATGAATCGATTTCATTCAGGTAAATGCTTGCTTATAGCAAAGTAATTCTTTGCTATAAGCAAATTGTGTAAAAAAAAAAAAAAAGAAAAATACTGATCACTTCCCCAAAGTAGTACAATGTTACTATGGTAACATTGTACTACTTTGGACATATGAAATATGAAAAAAAAATCTTAAAAAAAAAAAAACAAATTAATAAAAAATTAAAAAAAATATATATTTTTTTTTTCACACTGTCACCAGTCAGTGTCCCTGATCACCGCCATGCCAGTTATATGATGACACTGCACTGGTGACAAGTATGTAAAAAAAAAAAAAAAAGTGAAAATAATTTTTTTTTCATTTTTTCATTTTCCAAAAAATTATGACAAAAAAAAATACAACTTCAAAAAACTCGCCATGCCTCTTATGAAGTACGTCGGACTGTCTACTCTGCAAAAATGGGTCATTTGGGGGATATCTGTACTATTCTGACATTCTTGGACCTCAAGAAATTAGATTGGCTGTCAGTACTTCAGGATTGATCAATATTCAGATCTATACCATAGTTTGTGAACTCTCCTACATAACTTTCCTACAGACTAAAAAATACATCCTAATTTGGGTTATTTTCACCAAAGACATGTAGCAGAATACATCTCGGCCTAAATTTATGAAGAACAATTATTTATTTGTAAACTTTTATAACAGAAACAAAGAAAAACGTGTTTTTTTTTCAAAATTTTCGATCTTTTTTTGTTAATTCAGCAAAAAATAAAAACCCCAGCGATGATTAAATACCACCAAAAGAAAGCTCTAGTTGTGTGAAGAAAATGATAAAATTTTAGTTTGGGTACAATGTTGTATGACCGCGCAATTGTCATTCAAAGTGTGAGAGCGCTGAAACCTGAAAAATGGCCTGGGCAGGAAGGTGTAAAATTGCCCGGCATTGAATTGGTTAAAAATAACAAACATTTCATGCTTACGTGCTGTATGCAGTGGTTTTGCACAGATCAGCCCCGATCCTCCTCTTCTCAAATCCCCCACTGGTGCTCTTCCAGCCCCTCCCTCCATGCTGAGTGCCTCCAGAGCAAGCTGCTTTTTATAGGGGCACCCAAACACTCTCTTCCGAGCCCTTACTCGGCGTGTCCATTCGCATACAGCTGTGGCTCGACCCCACCCCCTCTCCTCATTGACTCACTGGCTGTAATTACAATGGCTTTGACTGCTGTCTCTGCCAGTGAGGAAGGGGAATCTTTGGAGAGCCGAAGCTCTCGTACACATCGCTGGATTGCAATGGGGCTCAGGTAAATATTTGGGGGGGACTGCTGCCCACAGAATTTTTTTTTTTTTTTTTTTTTTACCTTTTTTATGCATAGAATTCACGAAGGTAAAAAACCTTAAACCTTTACAACTGTTTTTAATCTCCAGGTGCTGCGGGGGTCATTATGAGAGCTAGACCTGTCACACACGCACTTATGAAGAGTGCAGACTATGCCCACCCTTTTCTATCCCCTCCTCTATTCATGAAAACTGTACTATAGCTTCCTGCAATCAAAAAAACTTTATGAATGAAGGATTGGTGGGAGAATGAAAGAGCCACCTCTTCAATTCATCACTTTTCATTGATGTACTTTATAGTACAGCATCTATGATTTGAGGAGGGAGGTGGAAAGGGTGGGCATAGTCTGCATTCTTCACTAGCACCTGTGACAGGTCTAGCTCTGGTATTGACCGCAGCAGTACCTGAATATTACAACCGGGGAAGGGGGGATGGAAGACTTTGGATTTCAAGTAGGACAGCCATCAACAGCACAAGGGATACTTCCCATTAAATCAAGTACTGTCTACTGTCCCTTGTGCTGGTTTTTTAAAAAATAAATAATTTTATCTAAACTAAGGCTTTAACCACTTGAGCTCCAGAGGATTTACCCCCCTTAATGACCAGGCCTCTTTTTGCTACTCGGCGCTGCACTAATTCAACTGATAATTGCGCGGTCATGCAATGCTGCACCCAAACAAAATTTATGTCCTTTTTTTCACGCACACAGCTTTCTTTTGGTGTAATTTGATCACCTGTGCGCTTTTTATTTTTCACGCTATAAACAAAAAAAGGCAAAAATTTTGAAGAAAAACAATATTTTTTACTTTCAGCTATAAAAAATATATAGTAAACTCAAAGTTGGTTATAAATTTAGGCCAAAATGTATTCTGCTCCATGTTTTTGGTAAAAAAAATCCCAATGAGTGTATATTGATTGCTTTGTGTGGAAGTTATAGCGCCTACAAACTATGGTATAAATACTGCAATTTATGCCATTTTTCTGCTATACAGCGCTGCGCTAGTTTAACGGACAATTGCGCGGTCATGCAATACGGTACATAAATGAAATTTACATCCTTTTTTTCCCCTCAAATTGAGCTTTCTTTCGGGGGTATTTGATCGCCTGTGGGGTTTTTATTTTTTGCACTATAAAAAAAAAAGGCTGACAATTTTGAGGAAAAAAAACCCCAATATTTTGGACTTATGGCGGGACTGCGGCGGACATTCTGACATTGGGGGTACTGACTTGGGGTCACTGACATCCCCAAAAACACTAATACAGTGATCAGTGCAAAAAAAAAAAAACACTGACACTGTACTAATGGCAATGGGAGGAAGGGGTTAACTTTATTTTGCAGGGAAGGGTTATAGGAGTGAGGGGAGTGTTTTACTAGGGGGCGGGGGTGTGTGCTGGATGGGACAAGGCTGATCGAGAAAGAGAAACTGTTCTTTCTCGATCTGCTCATCCTCGAGCTGACAGGGAAGTGACAGACAGCACAGCTACTGCAGCTGTATTGTCTGTCACTGTTTGCCGCCGATCGCCGGGAAACAGCCGCTAAGGAACGGCTGTGACCCGGCGACTCACATCTGCGGCAGTGATCGGCGGGACAGATAGGGCGGCGGCGCGCCTCGCGTGCGCCCCCTATTTGTTTACAAAACACACGTTTTAAAAACGTGGTTTTGCCTGCGAGTGCCGCCCAGCCGCCGTTTATGTACAGTGGCTGGGCGGCAAGTGGTTAATTATATATATATATATATATATATATATATATATATATATATATATATATATATATAAAAAAGACATGTATGCCAATAAGGAAACTAGTTTGACCAGTGAAGCGCGGCTTTGTCTTCCGCCAGTGACAGTTTATATAAAGAATCTATGCTAACAGAACTCATTGTCTTTTCTTGCAGTTCTTTGAGGCTAGTGAAAAGCACAAGCAGATCGAAGAGGAACTGAGGAGTCGACTGCAAGTCCTAGAGGCAGGAGCCGCACAGCACCAAGCTGTCTTAGATGGCCTGAAGCAGAAATACATGGAGACCATCGAGAAGTTACAGACTGACAAGGCAAAGTTCGAGGCAAGCAGAATAAATTCAGCCTTTTTTGTTTTTCTGGGGAACTCCTGCATTATGCATGACCCAACTTCCTCCCTTTGTGTTCTCTGCTGAGTGGAGCAAAAGAAATTGCTGACAGCGTGGAAGTAAAATGACATTTGTTATCTCAAACATTTGCAAACATTTGTATTTACAGTTTTGTCACCCCACCACAGCAGTTCTGTAAAAGTCATTGCCTGTGGGGTCTTCTTGCCTGGCGGTCTGTTTAGAAAACATTCACTGTCAGGATGTGTTAAGCATTCGCATGGGCACCATGAATATTTGCGATATTGTTTAATATATGATTCTTTCCCATGATTGTCAGCATTATCTAGTAGTTATAATGTAGTATTATTATTTTGTTTAATATTTAGTTGAGGTATTGCAGGAAATTTAACACATTATGGTCACTAGATGGAACTGACGATCATAGGAGATCATCATATTGCAAACATTTGTGGTGACACTGCAAGTGCTTAAGCCCTGCACACATGGGCTGAATATTATTATTATATACAGGATTTATATGGCGCCAATAGTTATTGCTTTACAATATAACGGGAGACAATACAGCAACAATACAGTTCAATAGAAGAGGGATAGGAGGGCCCTGATCCTTGGAGCTTACAATCTAGGAATATCATGTGAATATCAGCCAAAATCAGCCGGTACAGCTACTTGTCCTATAGAAGCCAATCTCACAACTGGCTTCTGTCGAACGAGTATGCTGGAAAACCAGTAACCAATCGGCATCCAACCAGCGTTCTCGGTCTGGGCTTTGGGTGGGCCATCTCTGTACGAGCTGAAAAAGAGGTCCGGACCTCCTTGACTGCGCCATGTGCCAAAAGTCTGTTGGGTCCTGATCCCAGCAGTGCCCTTCAGCACATCATTGCACATGTGCGTACCATCATTTTTGACTAGATATGAAACAGGAAGTACTGACCTGTAGCATAAAAAAATAAAAAGCTCTTAGAAAATTTGTGATAGAGGAAGGGGGCCGGCGCCAGGTACATGTACATTGTTTTGCAAGGTGAAGGTCCACTTAACACATGTTTATACATAGACCCCATCACGTTTAGAACTTAAAGCGGAGCTCCGCCCAAAAGGGGACGTTTCGCTTTAAGGACTACTCCCCATTTAGGATTGGCACCTTTGGGGGATGGGAGGGGGGAGTGGGTATCCGAATTTGACGGGTATCCGCTCCCACTTGCAGTCCGATTGTCTAGGCAACCGGAAGTGGAAGGTGTCCTCCCTCCCTGTAGTCTTTTGGGACACGTGACAGGTCCCAGAAGACTACAGGAGCATTCATGGAGCGCAGTGCTACTCGCGCATGAGCAGTGGGTACCCGGCTGTGAAGCCGTAAGCTGTCACAGCCGGGTGCCCACACTGAAGATACCGCCTGGTGAAACGAGCGAGGGCGGGGGACACAGTTTTTGTAGCTGCTGACTTTTATTTATTGACAGGGTGAGTGGAACTCCGCTTTAAGATCTAGATGTGGCTGCTCCTAGTGCATGCCATAGTGAGCCAGTCTGAACGAAGGAGCACAGGTGTTGTCAACAGCTACCTAATATAAATCAATTATAGGATACGTATGTATGTGGGTAAATGCAGCTCTAAGTAGAGGCATGGGCATGCGTACGTGTGTGGACTGTCTGCATCCAGGGGCATACTCTCTACAAAGGAGAAAATACAAAGGAGAAAATGAGCCGTGTTCTGGAACTATTTCCCTCCAAGCTGAGTGACTTGACATGAGGACACCGGTGCTCTGGCTAGGGTATCTGTTAACCGCTTCACAGTAAGTCCTCAAAAGCAGGAAAACCGGCAACTTGGTACAATCCTCCATATACAAAACTTTTATTTTCTTACATGTTAAAAACCAGTAATGGAGGGCTTACGTGTTTCAGCAACCACCATGTGCTATAAGCAAGGCTTAGATGCTGAAATGCGCTTTGTTATTCGATTTTAACATGTGAGCCAATAAAGTTTTGTATATGGAGGGCTTTATAGAACACTTGTGGCTCCCGTTTGCTAAAATATAGCCATGTTTTACACTGTATGGATTGATACGCCAGTGTGCACGAGTCCTGATTTAGGTTCCACTGACCATTTTAATTCCCTAAAATGTGTGTTGTCAGTGAAGAAAAACTTAGGTCAGACACCTCTGTCAATCATTTGGGAAAGAATTTAGCCTCTATCAGGTTTTACTGTTGTCAGCTTTTTTTACATTTCTCTCATTTCCTGTCCTGGTGACCACATATAAAGTGATGACAATGAGCACATGGTAATAAAAATGTATTTATTTGCTGCTTTGTGATTCTGTTGCAGAGGCTTCCTCATTTCTGATCATACAACATGACAGGAAGGTGAGAAGTCTATGCAGCAACTTAAAGCCTAGTACACACGATCGTACGAAAAAATACTGCTTTCGAAGCGACCGTATGATAATCTGATCGTTGGTACACAGCTTTCGTCCGAAATTATTTGAATGGACAAGCATGAAAATTATTGTCGTACAATACCAGTTCGTACGATTTTTGTTTAATCAGCACAGTTTTCGTCTGAAATTACAATACAAATACATGACATCACTCCCGAAATCTCTTTCTGTCGTACAAGAATTTTTGTAAGGTTCGTACCTTTTACTTTCCAAATGAGACTAGCGTGCAAAAAAAAGACAATCATTCGTCCAATATTCTCATCGTGTGTACAGCAGTAAAATCTGCAATAAACTCTTACCCTCCCTTCCATGCCCCTTGACATACTTCTGATCCCTGGTTGTGTTTTGGACTTAAAGCATGAGTTTGCTTTTGCAACGTAAAATAAGGATTACGGTAGTTATAAATACATACTTTTCTTTTTCAGTCAAACATGTTTCAGCATTTCTTACAGTATTCTGTATTTTTTTTTTTATTTTTTTCTCATGTGGGCAGTCTAAGGGCTCATGCACACAGATGCAGGGAGCTGTATGTCTCTGTGTCTAGGAGTAACAGGTATTTGCTACCACTGCCTGTTCAGATCAATGACAGGCTGCAGCTGTACTCTGGTCATCGCACATTCAAGCGTTTACTTGCATACAGCAACATATGTGCACTCCAGGATGCAGACGGGTTGCATCCAGAGCAGCTTATTCTTTTGCTGTATGCAGGTAAATGCTTTGCTGTGTGGTTAGCAGCATATAGCTGCAGCCTGTCATTGGTTTGTATAGGTGGCTGTACAAAACAACTGTCAATCCTGGGCACAGATAGGTTTGTTTACTTGCATAAGGGGAGAGATGTGCACCCCAGGATGCAGACAGTTTGCATCCAGGGCAGTTGCTTTCCTCTTTGCAGGTAAATGCTCCGATGTGGGGGTGTAGCAGCGTACAGCTGCAGCCTTTCATTGATTTGTACAGGCAGATGTACAAAACAGCTGTCACTCTTGGGTACAAATGTGCTCATGGTTCGTTTTTTTTATGTCTCACTGAGCCCTTAATGTAAAAGACATATAAATCCCTGGTTGCACTGTTGGGAGGCTCATGACTTGCGGTGGTAAACAGTGGATGATTGACAGGTACAGTAAGTTTGGGTTGGTTCCATAGACCAGTGCGTTCCTCAACCTCTTCTGATTCACAGCACACTTTGAAATGATGCAAAATCTTGCGTCACCCCAGTCTAAAATGGGGTCCCTTTTCAACTGAGAGTCCCAATCATCGCCCACCCCTTTTCACAATAGGGTTCTAACCCCCCCCCAATCTTCACTACAGCATGGTAGCGGTGGGAGGTAGTGTATGAATAAACAGGGGTGGACTTTAAATACTGGGGCTGACCTGATTGCCACCTGCCCTGGATTAGTGTCATGCATCTGGCGGCTTGCCCTCATACACCATTAAAAACACATGAAGTCATGTGAAAATACCAGAGGTGGCACACTAGGTTGCTGAGGCACCTCGGTTGAGAAACTGTCATAGACATATGTAGGAGGTCAAGCTGTCCACGTATTCAATGCAACTAGCACCTGTAGAAAGCAAGTGCGATGAGATGGAAAATAGTGAAGGACTGAACCTTGTTATTGATCTGTAAAACTACCCACATTTAGCAGCCAATAATAGTGTTTACTAGAGCTGGGTGGATTATTGCTTGGCCGCCTGAGCTCGAGTTTGACTCCATCTGTAATCACCCCATGCAGAAGAAAACTAAAGTCGCTTTCCTCTTCCTGGAGGTACATGCAATGGAGTCGTGGTGGAAGTGTTCCAGAACTAAAATCATGCAAGGTGACAGTGTAGTCTGGTGGGGTGGGTGTGATGCTGTCCGTTTTCCTTGGATTATGGACCGGCATTGACCTCTGAGATGGTACATTGTGGTGTTAGTTTGTCACCATGGCACAATTATTGTCTAATATGTGGTGTTTTTTGCAGGTAAAAGCATTGGCTCTGGAAAAAGAGGCAAAAGACTGCAGACTGCGATCAGAAGATTGGTGAGTGTGTGTGATAACTCGTAGACGACGCTACACAGAATTGTAATATTACATGATATATCTGAGAGTCATTAAAGCTGTTCTCCAGGAAAATGAAAAATCATCCCTTGTGGTGGGGCTCCCCCCTGCATTGCAAGGGCTAAGTGCTGGTGTATGCTTGGGATACCAGTAAAAAGAACTTTTACTTATGTTGTTGCTCTGCTGGCAGCAGATGGTCCCATTTTTTTCCCCGGTGCTCCAGCTTTTGGGCGGCACCATGGCGTCCTCCTGTAAAATGCAGTGCTATTGGCCCTGCATTGTACTTGATCACATTAGAGTGCCTCTTGACTGCTGGAGCACCACCCTAGAGAAGAGGATTTTGAGGGAGGATGCAGAAGATTACGTAGACCATAGATGGATGGGAATTTGGCTGGTTCAGCAATGACTGGACAAATTTCAATCCATCTATGGCTGTTCCCACGTGACCGAAGTCAATTGTTAGATTGGCTTCTGTCCAATGGGAATGTTAAAAAAATGTTTTGTTGAACATCACACAAAGTGACGGCCCTACTGATACTATAATGCTTTGTTTATAAGGTTTAATTAAACATTGGTTTTATAACATTTTATTTTTCTTTTCATACATTTTTATTGAAACATTTTTCCAGGTATACATTGTAACTGGTCATGTTCATGTTTACACACAGATACATGAGATCAATAGCTTACAAACCAAGGCAGTTGTAAATCATTTACAAAAACTGTAACTAAAACAAAGCTTATGGTGTATCAAAATGGGTTGAAGAACAGCATAAATAACAAGAGAGGAGCCATACGCCCTGATTGACTGAGGAATCAGTCGTTGGTAAATGAGATATCAATGTATAAAATGCATTATGCAAGGAACAAAATGAAAAATGCATAAGAACAAATCACAGATCGTCCCAGAGTAAAAAGAAAGGAGGTGGGAGGGGACATCAAAGGTTAAATAACATTTTATTTTCAATATTTGTAACCTTTGTGTCACAAAATGTTTAATACATGATCGGGAAATATGGGTTAGCCAAAAAGACAACAACACAGTGCAACAAACTAGGTTTGAGATTGAGAAACAGTTTAAACTTTGACTGTGCTGTCCAGTTGGGGATGGGTCACTGCTGATGAGATTGAGCTGTGTTAAACAATGGATTTATCTCATCAAAGAAGCAAACCAAGAGCCTTGAAAAAGGAACTGAACTTTGGAAGCTGTACTCAAAAAAAAAAAAAAAAAATTACTAGCAAAAGACCAGTCGTCAGTATGGCCTGTGGTCTCTCTGTAGCTGACTTACCATGCCGCCTATTGTGCTAGATCTCTGTGTGGAGGCAGCCATCTTGGTAGAGGCAGGGCTTTGCTTTCTCATGTTGGAGCTTCCAGCAAGGACAAGAGTGAGCAGCACAGTAGTGACCTTACCAAATCTTACTGGAAATACCCTGAGACTAGCAGTCAGACTACAGCAGTGCCCATTACAGATATACAGCTATGAGGCTGTAGACAAATGAGTGCTTGGGCACCCTCACATACTAGCAAGAACACTGCTTTTCTCAGGACAAATACAAAACAAACGGTACATTTTTAAGGGTGCAGCTTATCCACAATTAACATTTCTAGGTGTTCCTTTAAGATAGGATTTATTCACTTTTTAAAGTATAACTAAAGTCAAAACTTTTTTTTTTTAGTTTTTGGTAGAGTGCAGAGGGATTAGAACACATGAAACAAAGAATCAAGAGTAAGACATTTAACATGTTCTGGATCCAACCTAAAATCTAAAGGAAAAACTTTTTCGGTTTTGGATGGAGTGGAGATGGATTAGAACCCCTGTCAGGTTTTATTGCGGTCTGTGCCCCCATTAGGGAGATTTATCCTCTTTATTTACCCTGTTTGCCGTTATCATTGAAAGTGAAAGAGAAAATCCCAAATTTTGGGTTGGGGAAAATCGTCCAATGGAAACACTAGTTCTGGTGACCTGGGGGTCCCCAAGGCAATCCTTTAAATTGTGCGAATTTTCTCTCAATTCCTGTTTGGCAATGGGACAGGAACTGAAGGAAAAGCTCTGCAATGGTGCACAGATGGTGAAAACAAACCTGACGAGTTATTACCTTACTCCCTCCCTTACTCTGTCCAAAATTAAAAAAAAAAGAAATTGCCTATAGTTCTACTTTAAGCTCAGGTCCTCTTTAAAACTTCCAAATCTAAAATAGCAGCAAGGAAACTATTATATTTACTTATATATATATATGCATTTATTATATTTCCTAAGCTTTAGCTCATGATCTTTTTTTTTTTTAAACGGTCTCCTTGTCTCGTCAGCCAAAATCAGCTGAAGACTCTTCATGTAGACTTGAGCAGTCGTCTGGAGGAGTCTCTGTGTATCATTAATGAAAAAGTACCTTTTAATGACACAAGTAAGTGTTTTGTTCTCTTCATAAGTTGATAAAATGTTATATCGGTGCTGCGCTCAACTGATCTTCATTTATGTACAGTAGTGGTATATGCAATACATTGACAAAACGTGGAATATAAGAATACTGTATTTGGGGTACAGAAGAGTCCTAGAACTGACATTGTTGCTAAAGCAAGTAGCAATGGAATATTTTCCAACAGCATTGTCTGTATGTATTGGTTATTGCTGTCCTGGGTAGCCAGTGATGCACATTGTGTGGCCAAAAGTTTGTGGATACCTGATTGTTACACCTATATTATGTGGCCAAAAGTGTGTGAAGCAGGGCTGCTGATAAGGGGGTACCACTGGTCCTCCTGTACAGGGCCCGGGCCCCATCAGTTCAGCAAGGGGGCCCGGGCAGGAGGAGGATAATCAGTGCAGTAGGAGGGCAGCATTTACTGGAACCGATCCTCTGTGGTTCACAGCCTTCAGCATCTGAAAGCCAGATTCTTCTCTCTCTCCCGCAGTGTTTCAGCTGGGACTACAGGGGATCGGTTCCAGTAAATGCCTACCCCCGCTGCCCCAATTACCTCTTCTGTCTGATGCCAGGCCCCCTCCACAGCAATGCCACCTGCCAAACCTCTCCCTCCCCCTCCCGCCGGCTGCAATGGGGCACAGGTTTACAGAATGGAGAGCAGGGTGGGGCCAGTACATATATCATATTAACCTCAGTTTACTATGCTTCAGTTTGTAATAAACAAGGAGACTGTGCAAAGCTCTTCCTGTTCCTTTATTCTGTGCAGCTGAAGCTGCAGAAGTAGAAATTGATGACTGTATCAATCACTTTCTCTGTCTCAAAAGATTCTGTTTCGATCCCCAATATTTTGTCAAAGCCCTCTCAACAGGGCTGTTAAAACAAATTGTAAAAAAAAAAAAAATTTGGAAAAATAATAAAAATAAACACAAAATGATGAGCCCATCATTATGTGTTTATTTTTATTTTTACAATTTTTTTAAATTTTTTTTCTTTGTCCCACACCGTTTTAATGACCGTGTGAGCACAGCCACAGATCCTAATCTGACAGGCGTGCAGGTGTGGTGAGGGACCCCAAATGCACACTGTGTTTTGGGGTTGTAGACCTACACTCACACGCCTGTCAAATTAGGATCTGCGGCTCTGTTTGTACAGCTGCTGCATCAACCAAAATGTAACATAGGCTGCCTGCACAAAGCTGCAGCCATGTACAAAAAAAAACACTGATTCACACTATACAGGTCACAGTGCCCATGTGAACGAACCCCAAGACCTCATTCACACACACGTAATTATTTATTAACTCGGTAGTTTTATCTTTTAGATGTAGAAGGAATTTTGTAAGTTTATGTTGTGTTTTGTGTTCGCTAATAATGATCTATGATTTTAGTGTTTTTTTTTTTTTCATTGACCATCAATCATGAGGCATTGTTTATTCTGGCTAATGCTTGGGCATACCCACTGGCCAAAGTGGCCTCTCTAAAGTCTGAAGGACAGTACACCAGTCCTTTGTTTAGAAAAGGTTGTGGACCCCTGTTTTAGACAATTTTGCTCTTCCAACCTGTGACAACAGTTTTGTGAAGGCCCTTTTCTGTTCCAACATGACCGTGCATAATGGCAGCTGAATAAAGACATGGTTTAATGAGTTTAGTATGAAAGAACTAGAGTAACCTGCACGGAGCTGTTGTCTCAGCCCTAACAGACACCTTTGGGATAAATTGATATACCAATTTCTAACTACATCTTCCCAACCAGCATCAGGACCTGACCTCACAAACAATATTTTTGACTTTTGCTATTAAATATGTCCAGTAAAAAAAAATTTAAAAAATCTAATTTCGTCATAAATTTAGGCCAAAACGTATTCTGCTCCATGTCTTTGCTAAAAGAAAATCCCAATACGTGTAAATTACTTGGTTTACGTGAAAGTTATGGAGTTTACAAATGGCGGTATATATACTGGGCTTTTTAAAAATGTTTTTACCAGTAATGGTGGCGATCAGCGACTTATAGCGGGACTGCGGTGGGGATTCTGACACTGGGGGGGCTGACTTGGTGTCCCTGATATCCCCAGTGACACCAATACAGTGATCAGTGCTAATAAAAAGCACTGACACTGTAGTATTGGCACTGGACAGGAAGGGGTTAACATGTGCGTGCTTTTACACTGTGTTGTGTTAGTGCTTTCAACTGTAAGCAGACTGCTTTGTATGGCTCTGCTATGCAAAGCCATACAAAGCAATATGCAGGAGCTGACAGGGAAGAGATCTGTGTTGTTTACATACAGTTGTCTCCCTCCGCCGGTAATGCTCGGCAATCACCGGGTGCCGGCAAGTACCGGTAATCACTAGAGCGGAAGGTTCTAGCTCTGGAAGGTTTCACTCCCTTCGTGACCAGACCATTATTTAGCACTGCGCTAATTTTAACAGGTAGTTGCATGGTCATGCAATGCTGTACACAAATAAAATGTGTTATTATTGTTTATATAATTTTCACACAACTCTTTTGGTGGTATTTGATCACTACCGGGTTTTTTTTTTTATTTTTTTATTATGTAAACAGGAGAAAAAAAATAACATTTTGAAGAAATACAATTTTTTACTTTCTGCTATAAAACATGTCCAATAAAAATCACATTTATTCATAAATTTAGGCCAAAATGTATTCTGCTATTTGTCTTTGGTACAAAAGAATCCCAATTAGTGTGAATTTATTGGTTTGCGTGAAAGTTATAGCATTTACAAAAACTATGGTACATATACTGGAAATTTTTTTTTTTTTTCTTACTACTAATGGCGGTGATCAGTGACTTATATTGGGACTGTGCAAGTGGGGCGGGCAATCTGACACTAACAGACACTGGTTGGGAACTGACTAACTGGCACTAATATAACTAGTGATTCTAATACAGTGATCAGTAATAATACTATACACTGTCACTGTGCTAATGACACTGGCTGGGAAGGGGTTAACATCTATTGGTGATCAAAGGGTTAACTGTGTACCGAACAAGTGTTAATGTGTGTATTAGGTGCTAAATTTTACTAAACAATACCTTTGTTTCTTCACCCTGCTTTGCAGGGAGAAGAAACAAAGATTGTTCTCTCTGTACAGAGCCCTGTGTTGATTTTTCAACATAGGGCTCTGGGCTGTGATTGGACACAACCGATCAGCTGGTCCCGGCCATCATCATTGGCTGGGACCTGCTGACAGAATTCCGCTATGTGTAATCACAGCGGAAGTGGGTGGGCAGGGGTGTGTGCGTACACGAAAGAGGCCAGTGACTTCAAGGTACGTTGTTGTGCCTGTATGGTCCGCCCGTCCGTAGTACATTGCAGACAGTCCTTAAGTGGCTAAGAAAAATGCAAGGCATTCCTTGAATTGCTCCAACCCAGACATGGGACTAACTTTTGGCATTTGACTCTGCTGAAGGTGCTTTCCTAGGTACTTGTGTGTGACGTGTTTAGTCAGGTACAGAGTACTTTTACAAGTCAAGTGCTGCGGTGCTCCCATCAGATGGAACCCTGGATTCCAGGTTCAATAACAAAACAGCAGGTTTGTTTCAAGGTCCTTTGGACCCTGTAACCTTCACAGTGGATTCTCTGTGGGATTAGTTCTAACTGATCTTTACCTTTTATGCCTCTGAAACTCCATACTCCTCTGAAACTGTTTCCTCGCCTGTTTCACAATATTAAATTGGAGGGCATTCTGGTGGTTGTCATTGCACTCCAGACTCCCCCTAGGCTTTTATCCAAAGGGCCAGTTTACTTCCTGACTGCTCAGTCACTGGCTTTAACGGCCTGGCTGTTTAAAGTCCCGGTCCTGAGGGACAGGTGGTTGTCGGATTCATTTCTTCCTACACTCTTGAAAGCAAGGAAATTGATGTCCTACATAGTCTACTATCACACCTGGAAAGCAAATTTCTCTAGGTTCAAGACAAGGAAATTCCATCCCAAGGAGTACTCTGTGGGATGAATTCTGTTTTTTTTTTTTTTTTCCAGGCTGATCTGGATCAACAATTGGCCCTGGGTATCATCAAGGGTCAAATCTCAGCCCTATTAGTTCTCTTTTAGAGGCCACATGCCCCTAACTCCTAGTGTAGTCCTTCTTCTAGTGCATTGCTCACATTTTCCAATCCCGTATGTTCCCCAGTGACTCTGTGGGATATCAGTCTGGCTCTTTCGGTTCCTCAGAAAATGCCCTTTGAACCTATCAGAGATATTCCTCTATCTACACTTACTAAGATGGCTTTGGCTTTCTTGTTGCCATCACTTCTTTGAGGCGAATCTTCAAGTTAGTGGCCTTAATTTGTAAAGAACCCTTTCTTGTGCTACACAAAGGCCTCTTTTCTTCACACGGTGGTTCCCACATTTCTCCTAGTCATGACCGTTTTCTACCATCCCTCTGTTCTGCTCTTGAAACATCCTAAGGAGATTTCAGTTGTATTGATGTGGTTGCCACTGTTCAAGTCTATCTCAGCTACAGCTCCCTTTCCACAATCTGAGTCTTTCTTTGTAATTTTTTCATGTTTCACAATCTGCAGGTGTTTTTGACTCATTCTTGAAACCTTTTATCTCAAGGGCAAAGTACCACCTTTTTTAAGTGCACACCACCAGACCAGTTAGTGCTTTTGGGCTTATCAGCATCTATTTCTCAGATTTGCAAGGCTGCCACTTAGTCCTCCGTTCACACACGTTTAAGTTTTTCATGGTGGATGTTCAGGCCTTGGCTAATGCAGACTTTGGTCATAAGGTTCTTCAGGCAGCTCTGTAGACACCTCTATTAACCAGTAATCCTAATCCTACCTCTGTTAACCAGTTGGTTTTTGTAGGCATGTTAATCTTCATTTGTTGTGTTGCCCACCCCTCAATTGAGCTGCTTCTGGATGTCCCAATTTACCTGAATACTTTCATCGGTGTCCCTCAATGTATTCCAAGAAAAAGATTTTACAGTAAGTAAAAAAGTCATGGTCAATAATATTGTCCCCC